GCATACCGCCAAGAACAAGATAAGACATTGTAAGAGACAGCTGACTTGTGCATGAACACGGATGGCGAGCAATTTTCAAAAGTATCTGAAGATTTGAGAAGACCTTTTCTGACTATAGGGAGGGGGTACGAATCCTCTGTTCCTCCGTGTTTATGCGCAATCATGAGAGGCATGGGTGATAGAGCACACAGTGCGAACACCGCAATGGCAGTGCACCGTTCGTGCATCGGTGCTTAGGGCGACAGATCAAGCCACAAGTAGCAACTTTCTGGCTAGTATAGAGGCTGCTCTCAGGGAAGAGGCGGCCCCTGTGTCAACACTTAGGGCGATCGCTCCGGTCGAGATTGGCAACTCTGCTGGCGTCATGGAAGGAGCTCTGATTGATCGCGTCCTCGCACACCCGGCCGTTCAGGCCATTGACGTCAGCCAGCTGGAGGGTTGGCAAGACCTTGGGAGGGTATTCGTGAGGGCATTTAATGACAAGGGCCAGCGCTACCCAATCGATTTTGACAACGCGTACGTTTGGCTGCAGTACGGAAGGAAGGACAGTGCTCTAAGGGCTCTGAAGTGTCGTCTTGGGGAAGTTACCGACTACATAATCATTCTTGGAAAGAACCAAGAATCCAAGTCAGAGAACCGAGGGCCGGCTCCGGACAAATACTACCTGACGATGGAGGCGTTTTTCATGTTTGCATTACGGGCTTCTGGGGAGAGGGGGGACATCGTCAGAAGATTCTTCATAGCCGTGAGGGAAGCATACTTTGAGACGATACAGGAGCTGGAGGACAACCCCAACACCCCTGCCCGTGTTACTCTGGACCGACACGAGAAGTTTGTGGACGGCCAACTCATGGAGTTGGGAAAAGAATGTTCCAAGGCCATCAGGGTAGAGGCCCAAGTGCGGGACAGGCTGGCTAGCAAGCTGGTGGGGGCTCGGACAGAGGTTCGCTGTGAGTACGGTATGATCGACATTCTGACAGACACAGAGGTGATCGAGGTGAAGGTGTATCACAAGTGGAAGCACGCTTTGGGACAGTGCCTATCATACGGTCTCAGCTTCTCAGACCGGCAGATCCGGATACATCTCTTTGCAAACTTCAGCGATTGGGACGATGCTAACAAGCAGAGGGGTGCCATCCTTGAGATCTGCTCGAAGTTTGGCGTTAAAGTGACACTCGAGAGGCTCGAGGCGGCCCCTTCTGTGTCCACACTTAGGGCGATCAATCCAGCCGGAAATTGCAACTGCTCAGCCGACATGGAGGTAGCCCTTGCCGACCGCGTCCTCGCACACCCAGCCGTTCAGGCCATCGACGTCAGCCAGCTGGACGGCTGGGAAGAGCTGGGGAAGGTATTCGTAAAATGCTTTGATGAGAAGGGCCAGTGCTACCCGATCGATTTCGACGACGCATACGTGTGGTTGCAGTACGGGCGGAAGGACGGAGCTCTTCGAAGTATGAAGGCTCGTTGCACAGAAGGCGCGGATTACACATATGTCCCAGGGGGGGTCCAACGAGATGGGGAAGGGGTCTACGTCGCATTCCAACCGGACAAGTACTATCTCACTGTGGACGCCTTCGAGCGGTTTGCGATGGCAGCACAGACAGAGGCTGGCGAGCGAGTTCGAGCCTTCTTCAGGGCAATCAGGGACGCCTACTTGGAGCTCACTGCAAGCGGTCCACAGCCCGCCATCATTTCGCCAGAGGATCCGCTGCTTCCCAAGAAGCAAGGCGTCTTGTTCAACGGCACCGAGGTCTTGCTTGCGAAGGAAAAGACCCGGCAGTTGGAGATCGAGGCAAACGCACGGGTGTGCATCGCTGAGATGGACCATGAGTACAGGATGGCCACTCTGAGCCCGAAGCCCCCTCGCAAGCGGAGTCGAACCTCTGCAGGAGACCGCCAGGACGTTCAGGGGACTTCTGAGGACGTGCAGGAGCCCTCGGACCAGCAATTGGCGCCCCAGGCCCCGCATCCGCGCAGCACGGCCGCTGTCGAGGCCGTCATCAAGCACTTTGTTGCCGAGCACTGCACTGTGGACTCCACGGAGATTGTGGCCTCGAGCTCCTTCCTCGAGAGGCTCGTCGCCACCATGTACGAGGGCCAGCGCGCTCCCTCCGCAAGGGCCGTGGGAGTTGTCATGCATAAGTTAGGCTACGAAGGGTGCGAGGTCAAGCAAGATGGCAAGAGATGCCGGGCCTTTTTCGGTCTGAAGCTCGCTCAAGCAGCAGCTACGCCGACCGAGCAGCGTGCAGACCTACCGTAGCCGCCTCACGCTGGCGTCCATGTTGGCAGTCCACGGCTGCCGCGTGAAGGGGTGTCTCCTGCCGGTCCGTCCGTTGCGGACGCTTCGTATAGCATTCTCGTGGTAGATCCTGGGGACCGTCCCATTACGCCGCAATTCGCTCTCCAGGTACCGATACTTTGCGAGGTTGATGTTTGCTGACCTGTTGACCTCAGTCCAGTTGGAGTTGATAAAGGCGGTATTGTTTGCAATAACCCCTGCGTTGCCCAGAGGGTCTCTTACGTTTCCCTGAGGGGCGTTCCGAGCGTTCACAGAGCCTGGATTCTGTGGATCGAATATGATCCGACCCGGGCGCGGTCTCCCTTCTGCGAGCCGTCTGCTCCATTCTTCATACTCTTCTCCCCTATACCACATGACCTTAGGAGCCAGCCCGCGGTTGAAGGACATCTCAAGGATGTCACCAGCAATGTTCACCGGTTGATAGTCATGTGTGTACATGCCGACCCACGCGTCACCAACATAATGTGAACCATCACCATAGTAACCAGGCACAGGGACCCCATCAACACAGGTTGCAATCCTCAGCCCCCGCTCTTCATTATCGTAGACAATGGATACGGTTGGCGAGCCGGGCTCATCCCACGTTACCAGGAGCATGCATTCAGCTTCATTTGCCCCCCATCGGACTCGCCTCAGAGCTGTCAGAAGGCGTGGTTTCAAGGTTCTCTCCAGGTCTTCTGCTTGCGCATTAGTCATTCTTGGCACTTCCATTGCTTCCTAATGCTACTCAAGAAAAGAAGGCAGAGATTGTAGTCATGAGCCATCCCACGTTTGGAAGCACCTAAACTCGTTCTCAGCAGCAACCTCCCTCACAAGTTGCTCAAAGGGCCCGTTAAGCCGGTCCTTCCGGATGCAGATGTCCCGCATGAACGTGTCGCCAGAATCTCGAGGGAACTCGGCACGCCTGCCGAGCTCTGGATTGTTGCTGGCTCCAGGCATCACGCACAGATACCTAAAGACATCGACATGTTGCTCGTTCTGGGGCAGATGAGTGTGGCTTTTGAAGCGCGCAGCCCGTGCAATTGCCTGATTCTCGCTCGTAGAATTCCATTGCGGCTCGAGCATGTGGAAGTAGCGCGTGCCTTTGAGATTAAGACCTTCGCCACCTGCCTCTGAAAGTATGAGAACGTGCAGATCGTCATTGTTGAAAGCTTCGATTGCATCAGTCCGTTGCTTCAGTGACTTTGTGCCAATAATCTCACCGAAAGGGATGTTTTCGGCTGCCAGCAGCATCCTCAGGGTGCCCACTCCGTGCATGTTCACCGAGTGCGTGAAAAAGACTGTTTTGCACCGCCGCCAGGTGTCATCGTCGGGGGACGGCCCCAAACGGCTCACGAGGTGCCTTACAGCAAGCTTCAGCTTCGGACACACAATCTGCATGTTGCCTCCCGCGTGATTCGCAGCCGCTACGCCGGCAGCCAATTCAATGCCCGCCACGTCTGGCGGTGAGACCAGGACACCATCCCGGTAGACAAGGCTGTTACAAATGGCGCGGGCGGTGTCATAAAATCGCATCAGCTCGGGGTCTGGCTCTCCCGTGAGGTCTGCATCATAGTATGATTGAGGGGGCTCACCGTGAGCCTCTTGGGCCATCACCTGGGAAGGGGTCATCCTCACGATTGTGTCCCGGATAGTCATCCTCGGGTACCGCAGGTCATCGGCTGGCGATCTGTATGCCAAGACTGCGCAACTCAAAGCGGCCCTCATGAGGGCTCGCTGCGCCATGCCATCATTTCCAAAGACCGTGTTGAACCCCTTTCGGCTCGTGGGCATGCATCCTGGCTTGATCATGTCGAGGATTGGAGCAATATCGCTGGGTTGATTTACAACGGGTGTACCGCTGAGCAGCACAATCTTGCCAGCTGCACGCCCGCCCACCGCAATACGGTCTGAGCGCTGTTTCCCCGAGTTACGTGCATTGTGAACCTCATCAATCACGAGGATTGCATCCCTGCAAAAGGCCTTGATGTGTTCTTGAGGCATCTTGTCAAACGAGTTGTGAGTTCCGAGATGGATCTCACCCACGTTGGCAATCGGTGCATACCGCTGCATCTCACTCTCCCAAGTGTCCAGCATCGAGGCAGGTGCCAGGATGACGGTCCGGCCATACTTACCCGGAAATTGTCGCCTAAGGTTGTCGATGCAAGCGATCGCAGTCAGTGTCTTCCCGGCTCCCATCGAGTAGAGCAGGAGCGCACCCCTGACATGAGGTTGCAACAGCAGGCAGACGGCCTGAATTTGATGACGGTGGAGCCTCCACGGAGGGCCGGGCTGTTCAGCAGCCTCCAGGTTCACATTAGCTGCAACCGGCCCATATATCGCCCTAACATTCCGGAGGCCCGTGCAAGCAATCTCGTTCTCCATGTTTGCTTGCGTCGGGGCTTGCAAGGCGGAGTTGTTGGCAGCTTTCGAACGCCTGTACTTGGGTTCGAGATGCGGCCCAGGGCCAGGCTCCCGGTGCTCAGGACGTATCGGTGTTCTCCCTGTGGCATAGTTCATGTACCGTTGGATCAGCTCCAGTTGTTCGTTGTCCCGCTTTCGTTTTCTGGACCGCGCTGTTTTGTTGTTGGGGTTGTTGTTCTGCCTTGACGGCCCCGCACCTCGAGCGTTTGCTTGACGGTGGAAGAAGCCAGACGCCAATCTTTTTTGAAAGTTTGCTTCAGACATGGCGTTTCCTGCTCGCTGATTGGGGCTGTGAGTCCGTCTCGAGGGCCCCGCACCTCGTGCGTTCTCCTGACGGTGGAAAAAGCCAGATTCCAACCTTCTCTGCAGGTTTGCATCAGACATGGCGTTTCGGGCGTATGCTTCTCGCCACGGTGTCTCATCAATCGAGGCTTCATCAGCTTCACTATTGCTGTTGAGCACGATGACTTCCTTTCCTTTTCTTTGACGATTGGACATCTTTAAAAAAGACACACAAATTCTCATAGCTTAGAGGCTTGCGCAGATGCGCGGATGAGCAGGTGATGTCAACCCCCCTACTATAGTGAAAAAGAGGGGATCACAGATTTTGTAATACTTTTGAAAGTTGCGCTCCATCTGTGTATGTGCGTAAGCTTGTCATACATTACAACATTGCATTATTGCACAGGAGTAAACCCGTGCATAAACCCGTGCAGAAACACCAAACTGAGAGTATGGGTATGAGAGTAGGGTAGTATGCCTGTGGCAGTCTCTGTTATTGTTACACGCACTTACAATTTAGCTTGTAAACTACTTGCCGAACTGAAATCAACGTGGCAGGAAGTCTCTGCCATTGCTACGGGGTTGGGGTTCTTGCGTGTTATATATTTCTCTCTCAAACTTTCTTCCTGTTCTTTCATACCTTCCCCCACCCGTTTCCAGTACCGGACACACTCTTCGTCTCTGCACATACGCGGGTGGACCTCGATACATTGTTGCAACGTAAAACCACCATCCCTGCGAAACCACCAAAATTCCAGGAATCTTTTGGCATCGCGGCGGGGGAACAAATATTTAAACATACACCTGCAAGCCCAGAGTAAGTGGATCAGAAACCAACATTGAGAGGGGCATTGGTGGGACAAAGGAGGGCCATTGACAGACCAGCATATGAAAGGTGGCACCTTGATGAACTTTGGATGAATGCGGCAATATTCCAGGAAATGAGCTTCTGCTTCAAGTCAGAAATGAGACGAAGCTTGCACCCATCGGTTTTGCAAGAGCTTACGTGTCCATGCAGTGAGGTCGGTTGCATAATACCCCGCTCAGCTGAGTGAATCGTTGAGACAGATCATGCCCCCCCCCCCCCAGCCGAGAGGATGACCAGTCCAATTATCTGCAATTGAAATCTCAAACAGGTGACTCTTATACAAGAGAGGGATACCCAAGCGGAAGCGAACTTAGGCAACCTAGGCTCGTGCCAAATTGGAGTCTAAAAGAATGGCCGTAAAGGTGAGTCCTGCTGCTAGTCAACGGCTCAGTCTTGAACGAAGAGTCTTGAAGGTTATACATTTGGTCGTCAGAATGCCGTTGATAGCAAAACATCGATGGCTTAGAGGGACCGTCGCCCGGATAATCGTGACACGTCGGCCAAAGGCAGGATGTTGAGATCTGTGACACGTCACGTCTGACCTGGACAAGTGTCAACTAACTTCGTTCTTAAACAGGTCCCGAATGGTAATGACGAGATCGACGGCTCAGATTTTACTTCCTTGGAGGTCCTAGGTCGAAAGGGTTCAGTCTTGGTCGCGCAGAGCTGCGAGCAGAGCTGTCTGGGCATCTCACGCGGCATAGCTTCACATCCACCTTGTTCCGGATTGGAGGCATCTGAGGAGTAAATATAACTGTAGGAGTCTCTTCCAATGAAAGTTGGTGAGCAGATCTCAACCAATCGAGTAACTTATCGATATCGAAATTACTAATCTCATAAACTGCTACGCGTGATAGTCTTCGTTTTTATATGCCCCTAAATGTCATGGCGACCCAAGTTATCCCCTTACAAAGAGTGTTTGCAATGCACAGTGGCACGATGTGCCCCCCAAAGTCGCCTACTCCACAGCATATGATCGGCCGTTTTTGTATCAAGGTGACCACAGACCTTATTGATAGCACTGGATTGCGACGCATGACATTCAAGGGGTATGGGCCTGATGAGGCTTTCATCAAGCAAAAGACGGTAGCCGCTCGTGACAGGCACAAGCGGGAGGAAGACTCTGTGACGGAGCCGTTGATAACGACAATTGGTGTGTGTGATCTTTGTGACAACCGTATTGAAGTGCACAACATCAAATCCAGATCATGCTACCATCTGCTATAAGGTCTTGCGTGAGTACAAGTCAGTGAACCTCATTGAGATCCTCATCAACGGCAGAACCATAACGGCTTAACAGATCATCCTTCATGCTCTCAAAGCTTTGCCAAGCAGCGAAGCCTCCTTTGGCCCTTCGTTTCTCGAGGATCCTTTGTAACACAAGGTTCTGCATGGCGGCCTTTTCTCTCTCATTCGAGGGAACCTCTTCAGCTCGCAAGCCTGCTGCTGCTGGGTTGCTGGCAATCTCCGAGACCTCTGCAGCAATGACATTCTCGACAGCTAGGCAGGTCATGATCCGCTCCTTGCGCGCTTCCTCCATTGCTTCCCAGAGGGCCTCTGCCATCTCCAGTGCAAGGAGCTGCTGTGGGGGGCTCAGGTCCTCCGTGGTCCGGAACTCGGTGTCCATTCGGTGACTGGAGCAGTAAAATAAAGATGATCCATGACAACGCACCAAGCAGGATGCACCGGTACAGCAGATCAGATGAAATCCTTGGTTCATCTGAATTCAAGTCCGTCTACTCTGGCTTTGACCACCAGCAGGGGGTGGCAATTGCCTGGTCTGTGATTGACCTAAAGTCAGGGGACTGCACGGACCAGCTGGTGCGGACGCTCCAGCTCATCCAGAGGGTTGAGCACGACCACATCGTGCGCATCCATGACTGGTTTCTGGACCCAGATTCGGGAAAGATGCACGTGGTCACTGACCTCTTTAGGCCCGGGAACCTGCGGGACCTGCTGAAGGCCGCTGGCACGATAGATGAAATCGTGCTGAGAAGGTGGGGGTGCGACCTGCTGACCGCTATCTCCTTTGTTCACAGCCTCGATGGCCCTCTCTTCATCCGGAACCTGCGCATGGGAAACGTGGGC